AATCTACTTCCATAGTGATACTGCCTTGGAAACCCAAGGAGGGGTCGCTATGAGTTGGGTCTGACTCGATGGCACATAACAACAACAATGTACTGATAAACGTCACTTTATCTGCTTCGTGTATTGGGGTTATGCATATGATACTTAAATTTTATGCAGTTAGGACCCAGGAAATCTTTCCCAGCAGAAATGTCCTATTCATTTTGGCTTCACTCTCATTTTTCAGGGATGTTTTGAAAGCATTTTTTTTTTTTTTTTCCAGTCTCAGGAATTCAACAGTGAAGGAAAAGCTTTTGGCTGAAAAAATATTTACTGACTCTAAATAGATTGTACCCTTTTTCTGAGGCCCTCTCTCAGAAATTGCTCTGTGCAAATAATTGTTTGCTGGATCATAAGGCTATTTGATTATGTTGTTGTTGTTGTTATGTGCCATCGAGTTGGCCCCGACTCATAGTGACCCCTCCTTGAGTTTCCAAGGCAGTATCACTATAGAAGTAGATTGCCCCATCTTCCTTCTGAGGAGTGGTTGTTGGGTTTGAACCGCCAGTCTTCTGCTTAGCAGTCAAATGCTTTAGGCACGATGCTACCAGAGCTCCAACACAAATATTTCAGTTCCTGTTTCATGGATGCTATTTGGAAAGTGATGTAGCCTTATTTAAATTTTTTTTTTTTTGGCATATGAAATGTCTGAATTAATGAATTCTCATAGATGAGATTTTATTAGAAGCAGGGTGAAAATACGGCATGTGTCATTAGATTCTCTCCTTCAATGCCAAAACCTCTGTGGTTACACTCATGTAAGCAGAGTATAATGGACCTTTGGCAAACTTATGATAACAATATTGCAGAGTGGTGAAATAGAAGGAGATAGTGAAAAAGTCAAATAAGTATTTTGTTTTGTTAGCTGCTATTGAATAAGCCCCTGATTTATGTACATGATGACTCTACTACAATAGAATGGAACTCTGTGTGGTCTGGTACCAGTCTCATGATTGGTTGCGGATTGGACCATTGTGATCCATAGGGTTTTCATTGGCTGATTTTTTAGAAGTAGATCTCCAGGTTGTTCTTTCTAGAAAGAACAATTACTGAATGCCTAATATGTGTTGATATTTTATTAGTGTGCTGTGGTACCTGTTTTTCCAAACTAGTCATGTGTCCTTTTCTCTTTTCTTCATAGGTGATCATGGAGGAAGCACTTTACTCCCACCAAATGTCACAAATGAATTTCCAGAATATGGGACCATGGAAGAAAGTGGAGAAGGCCTAAGAGCTTCACTTGAGTTTGATGCAGAGTCTCTGCCATGCTGCCCACAAGGGCAGCAGGGGGCCCAGCTTCTTGCTGGCCACCACTCTGGGCTCAACAGTGTTACAGAAGGACCAAAAGATACTAGGGAGGCTCCCTCTCAACGTCACCTCAAGGAACAAAGTTTACAACCCATTGACTCACTGATTTCATCTCTAAAAGCCACGGAAACCAGAATAGTTTCAGGAACTTTACAGGCTATACAGGTACTGGACAAAGATGCTATTTCTAGTTTTTCAGTTCAGCAGGTGGAAAAAGAGCTGGACACTGCCAATCAGCAAACACAGGGAACCAACAAACGAATCCCTGCAAGCCAAGAAAAATCACCAGATATACCTCATTCAGCTGAAGTCACAACTGAGGAATATTTTTATTTGAGCATCCAGAAGGATCTGACTGCACTGTTAGCTGGAGAAACTCAGCCAGAACTTTCCCAGATAACTAGAAATGGGAGGAAAGGGGTTTTCCATGTGCTGGAACAATTGCCCAGCACAGAGAGCCCACCAGTGACCCATAACTCTGCAGGCAGTGGTGGTTATTTAAGAGAGAGGAGGTCTGATCTGGGGAGAGAACGTCCAGGGGAATGTGATCAAGGCAGCTCCACAGGGCGCCCAGGCAGGATTAAACATGTGGAATTTCAAGGGGTGGAGATACTGTGGACAGGAGGGGAGAAGAGAGAGACAAGGCATCCTGTAGACTTGGTGACATCAGTGGAAAGGACAGCCTCTCCTGAAAGCAAAAAGTTCTCCAAAGTGTCACACCATCTCATTTCATCTGCTGGTTTGTGTAATTCAGTTGGTTCATCTGAGAATGTTTGGGATGAAACCTGGAAAGCTTCAGAAAGGCCTGGTACCAGCTCAGGAACATTTTCCCCTGTGCCTCTTGTTGAGAATGGAGAAGATGAAGTCTTCTTGAAGGAAAACCAGCAACATCCTGAGAAGAAGCCTGAACTGGAGGGGGACAAGGAAAGGTGAGCTTACAACATACTCCTGCTGCCTGTCATGTCTTGCTCTCTAACTAGTGCATATAATAGGAAACTGTAATGATTTCATATGAGAACTCAGTTCAAAATAAACTAGATCCTTGTTATTTGGAGAATGGAAGAGAAGTCACTGTAAGCTAGGTTCTTCATAGATTCCTTCTAAATTTTTAAAGTTGTCCATTTGCTGTGGAACAGAAAAACTGAATTAGGAAGAAGCTGTTGACACTAAATTATGTGAATTCATTTCTGACGTTTTGTTAATATTTGACAGATTTAAAGCTTTGCAACATCAATGTACTGAAAACACCCCACAGTTATCTGTAATAATATGAAAAGATTTAGACTCTTGCCATGGTCGTTAAATCCTAATTTTGGCATTTCTTCCAAGTGCAACACTGATGCCTGCAGTCCCTTAGTAGCCTTCATACTTGTATGAACACAGAGGTTCTGGGTTTGGACCCCTCAGTTTTCTCAGTTTAGAAAGGACGTCGTAGAACATCAGAAGCAGATTCTGTCATGTAGTTGCTGCAGGGCATTCACATAGGAATCCCTTCTCACAAGTAGTGTATGTTTTGATTTATGGTCCTGAGACGTAAACTTGGCATCATATGGCATTTCTTGGTCTTTCCCTGCATTTCTGATATTCAGGGCAGCTTAGAGCCTTGGATAAATGGAAGACCTGACCCATGCTTCACTTCCACGGTCACCTTTGCTCATAGTCTGCCACAGGAGTGCTCCTTTGGCAAAGGCACTTGTTGTATTGTTATTTTGAATTTGTACCTTCCTTTTTATTTGTAAGCTTTTTGTAAGGGAGAACATCTGTGTCAAGTCTGAAGTTTTTTTTTTTGTTTTTTTTGGTACAGGGTAATGCCTTTCCTCTACAGTTGATTAACAAATCCATTGTAAGTGATGCTCCTTTAGGGTGGCTTTCAGGATCCTGGCCCCCACCCCCAACACCCCACCCCGCACGTGCACACACACGGATAAAAACTTCAAACTTCTCCCAAAAGCAGCCTTGATGTGTGGTACATGGCTCAGTACTTACATTTCTACTAGAATATGTACTTTTGCTGCTATGAGAATTTTGATTCAATTTTCCTTTCCTTCTTTCCTCCTTACCTTTTTTCCATAAATATTTTTATTTTATTGTCTACTATGCCCTTGGGAACTCTGGTGGTGTAGTACTTAAGGCATTTGACTGCTAACCAGAAGGCTGGTGGTTCAAACCCACCAGCCACTCCTTGGAAGGAAGATTGGGCAGTCTACTTCCATAGAGATAGTACCTCCGAAACCCAAAGAGGGGTCACTGTGAGTCAGATCCAACTCAACAGTAGTGAGTTTTTTGTTTTTTTTTTTAAACTTAGTTCCTTGATACTGTTAGATGCTGGATATAAAGTAATAAAACAGATGTGGTCACTGTCCTCATGGACTGTACTTCTGAAGATAAACAATGACCACAGGAAACATATTAACATAGGGATAAAACCAGAAAAAAAAAAAATAAACTTATTGGTGTCGAGTTGGATCTGACTCATAGTGACCCCTCCTTGGGTTTCTGAGGTAATATCCCTACAGAAGTAGATTGCCCAGCCTACCTTCTGAGGAGTGGCTGGTGGGTTTGAACTTCCAGCCTTCTGGTTAGCAGTCAAATGCCTTAGGCACTACACCACCAGAGCTCCTAATATAGGGATAGGATTAAATATTTTGCTAGGTACTCTGAATGTAAAGAACAGATACATACTAGAAAGAATAGTTTGAATGGAGAGAAGGGACGGGACTAATTTCAGTGAATAGCTTGGAAAAGGCCTTTCTGTGGACATGATAATTAAGCCAAGAATTGAAGAATGAATACAGGTTAGCCAGAGAGGAAAGAAAATTTTAGGAAGAGGTAATATGTCCAAAGAAGGGCTACTAAGTTCCAGACTGACAGTGTGCTTCCTGGAGCTGTGGGAAACAAAGGCCCTATGGCTACTTTGAAGATTTGAAGCCACCATGGTGGGTAGAACATAAGGAGCTGGGGGAGTGAGATATGAAATGGATCTGAGAAGCAGGGAGAAGCAGCATCATAGGAACTTGCTAGAGTTTGCAGTTTTATTCTAAGTGCAGTGGGAAACCATTAAGATATATATACCCATCATAGTATTTGATGTATTGTGGGCTTTCAGTGATTTCAAAACAATGAACATATAAATGTTGGATGTGAATCCTGGTAATACCTTAGGAATATAGCTTACTTATGAGGAGCTCTGGTGGCGTAGTGCGTAAGGCATTTGATGGCTAACTAGAAGGCTGGCAGATCAAATGGACCCAGCCACTCCTCAGAAGGAAGACTGGGCAATCTACTTCTATAGGGATACTGCCGCGGAAACCCAAGGAGGGGTTGCTGTGAGTCAGAATCGACTCAACTGCAGTGAGGTTTTTTTTTTGTTTGTTTGTTTTATGGATTACTTATGAGGTAGGTCCTATTTTTATTCTAATTTTCTAAGTATAGAATCTAAGGCTCAGAGAGGTTAAGTTGTCTAAAGTGACAAGAGATTGACACAACCAGAATTCAGCTCCAGACTTCTAATGCTGGGCTCATTGCTCTTTCCAGAACCCTAGCTATCTCTTGAGTTTGTTGTTTTCTTAGTTATCATGATGTTCATTATTAATGTTTGAATAATATGCTACATATTAATTTTTCATATTGATGTGCCAGAATTAATTTCCCACTTCTTTGTATTAACTTGAAGTTTGTTACTAGTTTTTCATGGTTTTGGTTAAATTTATGAAAACATGTCCAATGGTTTTTTTTTAAGGTCCCTCATTGGCTGATTTTGTACTTGAAATCTCTCTGCCATGTTGCCTGTTGTCAGCAGGGGGCAGCCTTAGATTCTGCTGCAGTCATTCTCTTGAGGGCAGCTGATTTTACTTAAATCAGAAAGTATTAATAGAATGATGAAAGTTTTGTGTATTTTTGTTCCATTAAGTTTACATTATATATTTATCTGTTCTTTTGTAATTAAGAGTGAAAGTAGTTGTTAATAATCTGAATTTGTGGAATTTGGTTGGCCAAAATGAACCTTTTATATGTTATTCAGATATTCATTGGACCAGATGTATTTGCATACTATGAAGCTAGTATGAAATTATATTATTTATATGATAGTGTAGCACTTGTATGCTAAGAGTTTCTTCAACCCTAACATGTTTCCACAATATTTTCCTCCCCAAATTATGTTACTGAGACATAAGCCTCCTGAGTGCAAGTATTAGTTTTACAGAATGTTGCCTTTTTTCATAGTTGAAGGGGAAAAAATAAAAAGAAAAATGTAACCTAATATTGGAATTTGTAACTCTTATTTCCTTTCCAGGATTCCTGAACTGGAGGAGCACAACAGGGAAGGGGACGATGATGTCTTGGGGCCTGGGTATGCGGAGGACTCCACTGATGTGTACAGCTCCCAGTTTGAAACCATTTTGGACAACACTTCTTTATACTACAGTGCAGAGTCGTTGGAGACATTGTACTCAGAGCCTGATAGTTATTTTAGCTTTGAAATGCCCCTCACGCCAATGATACAGCAGCGTATTAAAGAAGGCGGTCAGTTCCTGGAGAGGACATCAGGGGGAGGACAACAGGATGTTCTGAGTATCTCAGCAGATGGCGGAATAATGATGGGCTACTGTAGTGGGATCACCAATGGGCTGAATGATACCAGTGACTCCATCTACACGAAAGGCACCCCTGAGATTGCTTTCTGGGGAAGGTACTAGTTGCATTCTCATTAATTTCATGGTATTTGTTTTTCTAGCAATCTGTCTTTAGGAAATCTGTGCATGGAATGTATTTTAGAAGTATTTAGCCAGTTTCTGTGGATATAAGTGAATAATGTGAGTAAAAAATAATTTGAATTTTAGGGGTGGGCAGAGTATACATTAAAGTTTTGCCAAATTGCCAAGCTATAGTCATTCTATTTGGTGCTATTTCCTGGATTACTGTGTATAGATTGGATACTGAACAGATATATATGTAGGTGTTGAGTAGGAATCAGCTCTGACAAAAGTGCTCCGATGGAGTTTTATATATATATATATATATATATATATATATAATTTATTTTATTGTTGTTATTGAGAATATACACAGCAAAATGTATATTAATAAGTTCAGCAGTTTATACATGTACTTGTTAGTGAAATTGATTACATTCTTGGAGTTCTGTAACCATGCTTACCCTCCTTTTCTGAGTTGTTCCTGCCCCATTAACAGAGACTCACTTCCCTCTAAAGTTCCTATCTAATCTTTCGATTTGCTGTTGTCACTTTGATCCGTATAACTAGGAAACCAAACCCACAGCTATGGATTCCATTCTGACTCGTTGTTGTTGTTGTTATGTGCCGTAGAGTTGGACCCGACTCATAGTGACCCCACCTTGAGTTTCCAAGGAGGTATCACTATAGAAGTAGATTACCCACACTTCCTTCAGAGGAGTGGCTGGTGGGTTTGAACCGCCAGGATTATGGTTAGCAGTCAAGTGCCTTAGGTAAGTCAGAGTAGAGCTGCCCATAAGATTTCTGAAGTTGTAAATCTTTACAGTTGCAGACTGCCTCATCTTTCTCCTGTGGAGTCGCTTGTGGGTTTCAACTGCTGTCCTTTTGGTTTAACCACAGTGTCACCGGAGCTCATTTTAATCCCATATAGATCGTTCTTAAAAGAGCATAATATTCAAGCCAGACCTTTTAAACTGAACTATTGGAAAGCTGAACTATTGCTAATTTTTAAGATGATTTCCAGAGATATTTTTGGCTTAAAGTCTAAAGATTTTCTCAGGGAAGTAGATTCAGGAGTTCATCCACTGTTTATAGTTTCAGAAAGTCTAGGGTCCATGAGAATCGACACCCTGTTCTGCATTTTCTCCCTTTTGATCAGGATTCTTTTAAGGAATTTGTGATAAAAATGTTAAGAAATGGCAGCCAGGCACCATCCAGTTCTTCTGGTCTCATGGCAAAACATGCAGTTGTTCATGGAGCCAATTAGTCACATTCCATTTCTTCCCCCTATTCTTGACTCTCCTTCCTCTGTTGTTCTAGGTGAGTAGAGACCAATTGTTGTGCCTTGGATGACCACTTGCAAGCTTTTAAGACCCCAGTCACTACACATTGAACTAGGTGGTAGAATAGAGGCACTAGACATGTTATAAGGCTAATTAACTGGGTTGTCCTGTGAAACCATGACTCTAAACCTCCAAACCAAGAAACCAAATCCCAGGAGCTTTTTGGTTGTCCATCTAATATAGTGATATGGTGCCGTGAAAAGAACATTGAGAGACCTTGGCTTTAATTCTGAAATTGACATTGGTTCATGAGATGGAACAGCATACTTGATTAGGCCAGAGTTTCCTTAAATCTAAGTTGAGGGTGTTAAATTACATGGTCACCAAAGTCACTTCCAGCCCTTTGCTTTATGATGTCCTGTTCTGTCAGGATGTCTTCCTGTTTCTGAGATTGTGGAGGAAGGATCTGATTATACTGATGTTTAAATGGGTTGGTATCTTGGTCAAAACTATAAATAATCTCTGTCTCTAATTCAGGATTAAAGTCTTGACCAGGATGATAAAATGACAAATTATACAGGTTCTGTGCCAGACCTGTCATTTAGGGATTCTCTATCTGCTTATAGATTATCCAGCATTTCATTTCTTTATGCTTGTCATCCTTAGGTCATGAACTTGCTCTTCACATCTCTACCAGTGGCTAAACATAAAGATTAAATATACTTAGTTTTGACCTATTTTTTTTCTCAATTAAAGAATGTGTGTGTGTGTGTGTGTGTGTGTTAAATGGAGATAAATTATTTTAAACTTGCATGAAATAAAATCCAATTCTTTTTTTAAAGTGAGTATTCATATTACAGGCTTCCGGTGAACCTTTCTTTAGCAATCCCTCCTGTGTTACAGATTTAGAGTTTATTGAATGAGCAAAGTCAAGACTGGCACATTATAACATTTTAGCTATGCATTTCCATGTGAAATGGCCTGTGAATGTTGGCTGACTTACTGGGTCATAGTGAGATAATGAAAAGAACACAGGTCTTGAAAGCAGAAGACTGGGTAAGCAGCTTATTTCCTCTTAAACGTGATTCATTTGCAAAATGACGTTAATGATACTCAATGCCCTTTGTTACCATGAGATTTAAAAAGTTAATATAAAGTATCTAGCACAGTGACTCGTGCCAAATAGGAGCTTGAGCAAATATTTGTATCTGAAGTCATTCACTGATAAGCCCACATTTAAACTGAAAGAAAGGTGCCACTTTTGTCCTTCTGTTTCACCATCATCCCTAATGGCTATTATTATTATTATTTATAATAATAAATTATTATAAAATGCTATAGGACGGTATACAGATAATTTTGTTGAAATTCCAACCCAACTTTCTCAGGTGAGTGGAAGGTGACCAAAAATGAGTTGGGTGCTGAGGAGTTTTGAGCTGAGCTGGGTTGTTGCAGAAGCCACAAGGAAGGGATGTAACTAAAGAGAAGAGATGAGCATTTGACACTCAAATCAGAAAGGGATTAGTGAAAAGTTTATTAAATGTATGGTTTGCATGTTTAGAATAGGGAGCAGTCATCATTTGAACCACCTGTTCACTAGTATACAGTTGAAACTTGTATACAAACTTGTAGCGTGCCTGTCACTAGTATACAGTTGAAACTTGAACAACACAGGTTTGAACTGCATGTGGATTTTTTTCTCAGTAGATATAGCAGAGAATTTTTTGGAGATTTGCAACAATGTGCAAAAACTTGCAGATGTACTATGTAACCTAGAAATATTGAAAAATTAAAAAGCTAAGTATGTCATGAATAAAATATGTATAAAATATTTGCATAAAATATATGTAGATACTAGGATATTTTATGATTCACTACACACACACACAAAGCTATTATAAAAAGTTAGAATTTATCAAAATTTACATACTTACAGACTATATGCCACCAGTCTAGAGAAATGTAAACAAACATAAAGATGCAGTATTTGTAATCGTAACTGTATAAAATTAAATGTAGCACCTACTGTACTGTGGTAATAATTTCATAGCTACCTCCTTTTGCTGTTGGGGTGAGCTCAAGTGTTGTGACTCTGCTTAAAGCACCATGTGATGGTAATCATTTCTGCATAAGCCGTTTGTCTCTCCAGTAATTTGTGTATTTGCAGTAAAAAGTTATCTCTTGTAGTTCTCCTAGATTTTTATCATGTTTAGTACAATACTTGTAAACCTTGAATAACACCATGGGATCCATATGAAATGCCACTAGTGATGTTGGAAGTGTTCCTAAGAAGCAGAGAAAAGTTATGACATTACAAGAAAAAGATGAATTGTTTGATATGTATCATAGATTGAGGTCTGCAGCTATGGTTACCCACTATTTCCAGATAAGTGAATCCAGTGCAAAGGTTATTGTAAAAAAAAAGAAAAGGAAATTTGTGAAATCATCACTGCAGCCATGCCAGCAGGCATGAAAACCTTGTACTTTTTGTGAAATATCTGTTTATCTTGTATTGAGATAAATATGGTGATGGATTGTTTTAAGAAAGACATACCTATAGACTCCAATATGATTTGGGAAAAAGCAAAGTCATTATAGGACAACTTAAAGCAAAAGGAAGATGAAGGATCTAAAGCTGGAGAATTTAATGCCAGCTAAGGATGGTTTGATAATTGTAGAAAGAGGTTTTGCTTAAAAAATGTCAACAGTAGAAGCAGCACCTGCCAACCAGGAGGCATCAGACAAGTTCCCAGGTGCCATTAAGAAAATCATCGAGGAGAAAGGATATCTGCCTGAACAGGTTTTTAATGCAGATGAAAGAGCACTATTCTGGGAAAGAAAAGGAAAAAAGCCATAAAAGACATTTATTAATAGGGAAGAGAAGCAAACACCAGTATTTAAGGCAGGGAGGGATAGGCCAATTCTACTGTTTGTACAAATGCAGTCAGGTTGATGATCAGGACTGTTTATGTTATTTATAAGGCTTCCAGTCAGCAGTGGTCTATTTGTAGTTAAGTTTTTTGGGAGTTGAAAGTTACACACAGATATTTGACTGCAGGGAGGGTGGTCGGCATCCCTATCTCCTGTGCTATTCAGGGGTCAACTGTATGTAAAAACAAAAACACAAAACTCAAATCACTTGGTTTCGAATCAATTCTGACTCATGGGGACCCCATGTGTGGTAGAGTAGAACTGTGTGCCATAGGTTTTTAACAGCTGCAGCCTTTCAGAAGTGCATTGTCAGGATTTTCTACCAAGGTACTCTGGTTGGGTTCAGACCATCAGCTTGTTGGTTGGTAGCTGAGCACTTAATCATTTTTGCCACACAAGAATTCCTTGCCGTTAGTATGATTAGAGTTAAATATAGTTAAGAGAGAGTATTGGAGTAGGTCATAGTGTTTTAGCACCTCAGATTTAGACACTGTTATACTTCAAACTGTCTTGAGATAAAGTTTCAGCTGTGTCATCTGCATTGTCAAACCACGAGATCTTGTCTAGTGGTAAAAGACCAGATTCTAGACCTAATGAGAAGTATCCTAGAGATTAGGCAGCCTGACTTCTCATCCAGCTCTGGCATTCTTTCTATAAAATTCCTACCCTGGTCGTCATTTAACTCTTCTTGGAGCACTGCTGAGTTGGATGGAATAGCTTGGTGAGGTATTCCATTTTGTGTTCATTGAACTGGCATGAAAAGATAATAAGCAATTATGGAT